GTAACTATTTTTTCAGTTACCTGTACATCTAGCTGAGCCTCTATGCAAGTGACTCATCATGTCACATGGAGTGTTATGCCCTGCAATTCTAACCCATAGGATGTGATGGAAATTGGTAAATATTTTAAATCTGTCATGCTTTCTCTTGTTACAGATAAAAAAGTATGCTGATTTGCCAATCCTGACTGTGAAATGTTCCCACTGCCTGAACTATTTCCAAACACAACAATACTTGTTTTATTTATAATAGAAAAGCCCGTTTCTATTAATCTGAATTGATGTGTGCAGAAAAGCATTGTGAGTTCAATACAGACTGGTACCATGCTCTTACTGTGAGCTACAGTGCAATGCAAAAGGAAGCTTTCTGTGTATAATGCACAATGTATGTATTTCAAAACATGTCTCACCACATTGATCTTTGAGCTGATCTTGCTTTCAGACTAGTCAAGAGCAGTCATTTAAGTCTTTGAAGAGAAATGTGAACTAACTAGAGTTAAAATCTGAGGATGGATAAATGTTTCAGATAAAGTAAAATGTAATCTGCACATTTTTCAGAATTCAAACTGAAACTGAACTGAATCCTTCAGCTTTGAAAAAGACTAACTTTTTATGCCTTGGCATTAATCAGAAGCAAAAGCACCAAAACACCACCAGAAAAGCTACTCTAGTTCTATTTCTCACCTTGCTGGAACTAGGAACTATCCAATGTGAAAGCTTGTTTATTATGAGACTTCAGGCTCACCTACTAGTCCTAAGAGGTCTGGTTGAGCTTGGGATACGAAAGAATATCAACTCTTTCTGTGGGGTTCACAGATCATAACCAAAAGCCCTTGGTTTAACAGTTAGACTTTGTCCATTTCCTGGTCTAGCACATTTTGGCCAGAATCCTGTTTCACTCACTTGTGCAAGTATCCCTTTTTTTGTCAATGGCAGGCATCTGTCAAGCATAATGAGCAGGATTTGGCCATTGAGGTGTTTAATTCTAAGTCCAGAATAAGAAGAGGTACTGTGATGAATATGTAAAATACAGTAGCAAAGTCATTTTCAGCCTGTTATCTCACTTTAGACACTGTAAAATACACAAAGTACTTACAACATTCATGATTAATTCTTTAGAAATAGGAACAATTCTTCAGAAAAAAATTGATAATAAAAAGGCAGACTACATCTTTGGTCCATTAGCAAATCTTATTCTAGGGCAGGAGCATAGTGATCTTTCAGCACAGAGACAAACCGTGCAGTTCTGACTGCAGCATAACTCCCATTAGTTTCAGTGGGCATTTTCCCTGAGCAAAAGGATTTCAGTCTATATTACCAGCTAAGGAATCAACCCCCAGTTTTAAAAGGTGTGTGTGTGGAGGAAGTGGTCTCCAAACTACTTAATAGGTTCATACACTGTTGCACAGGAAATCCAGCTTTAGGAATATTGGTGTCTAGGATGGCCGGAATAGGAGGTGGCCAGAGAAGCATTGCATTCAGTCTCCTGGCTGGAGGCAGGCAAGGAGTGACTTCAACTGGGTTCCTCTTTCTGGATCAAGGATGTGTCAGTCCTTCCTTTGTGCTGTAGAGTGAGTGCATCCACACTATTAGAATCCAGGTGAAAGTTACCCTACCTCAGTCCAGCTAATGTCCTGAGTGATTGCTACATACAACCCCCTAGGTAGGCCATCACCAATGTTCTCCACTGTCCAGATTAAAAAGCCTTCTGTTATCTCATGTAGTAGGAGACACATTTTTTGTTTTGTTTTTTTCTTAGTGAAACTAGCTAAACAAGAGGAAACAAACACCGAATTCTGTTTTAGTGACTGTATAACTAGGCTGGATTAGTTTGAAGAACATCAGACACTTCCAAACACTCCAGTTCCTCAGTACAATCCACAAACGTCATACTTTCATTATGCAACCTGCATTGGTCCAACTCTAATGTTGCCATATAATTCCTGGAACCAACACTTGAGAAAAGCTTCAGGGAGTAATATAAAAAACATTGTGTTCCCCTACCACCTCCACTTTGCAGCTGAAGAAAGTATTGGGGGCTGCAGTACATACTGAATAGGATATTTCTGTTCTGGCTCATCTTTAATTTTAACTGAAACTGCCTGCCTTTTATCTGTTCTGGATAAAGTTGTAGTTCTCATGTTTGTATTATTTTTAATGTGCAAAGGGAATCTTTAAATAACTGATTTACATAACAAAGAAATGAAACCTTTCCTGCTTATTCTTCCAAACCGGTTGGTATTTTGCTGGTGTGCAGAGCTTTAAGGAATGGGTGGGAGGGTGGTTGGAGGGGAAGCCTTTCTTGAATTTGGAACTCAGTACTATGTGAACCATTGATCCAACGCAAGCTGGGGTCAGGATTAGTTTGCATTTCCTCATGCTGTCTTTAGAGAATGCTGAGACACTTCCTCTTGGAGGCCAGTGTTGGCACTAGTTCAGGAGTCACAGTGGACTATGTTGGGGCCAGTGTAGGTCACATATTGGTAGGTTACCTATTTAACACTTTAATAACTATTTCATCATCAAGCAGGTGTGTTTCCATTGGGATCCCACAGGGATCCGGTCTTTGGCCTATACTATTTAGCATTTTTATCAACGACCTGGAGGAATACATAAAATCATCACTGATAAAGTTTGCAGATGATACAACAATTTGGGCGTGGTGAATGAGAAGGAGGTTAGGTCACTGATTCAGAGCGATCTGGATTACTTGGTAAACTGGGTGCAAGCAAACAACACGCATTTTAATATAGCTAAATGTAAAAAATGTATACATCTAGGAACAAAGAATGTAGGTCAGACTTATGGGATGGGGGTTTCTATTGTCTGAAAAACATTTGAAGGTCAGTACAACGCTGTGGCTAAAAGGGCTAAAGCATAAATAAGGGAATCGCAAAGAGGTTATTTTACTTCTGTATTTCGCACTGGTATGACAGCTGCTGGAATATTGGGTCCAGTTCCGGCGCCCACAATTCAAAAAGGATGTTGACAAATAGGAAAGTGTTTAGAGAAGAGCCAGGAGAATGATTAAAGGATTAGAAAACATGCCTTTATAGTGATGACTCAAAGAGCTCAATCTATCTAGCTTAACAAAGAGAAGGTTAAGGGGTAACTTGATGACAGTTACCCCTTAGCATCTACATGGGAAACAAAAATTTAATAATGGTCTCTTCAATGTAGCCGACTGAAGTATAACATGATCCAATGACTGAACGTTGAAGCTAGACAAATTCAGAGTGGAAATCAGGCATAAATTCTTAATGGTGGGCATGATTAACCACTGGAACAATTTATCAGTAGTCGTGGTAGAGTCTCCATCACTGACCATTTTTAAATTAAGATTGGATTTTTTTTTCTGAAAGACTTGTTTTAGGAATTATTTTGGGGAAGTTCTTTAGCCTGTGTTATACAAGAGGTCAGACTAGATCAGGGGCGGGCAAACTTTTTGGCCTGAGGACCTCATCAGATTTTGGAAATTGTATGGAGGACCGGTTAGGGGAGGGAGTCATTGCCCGGCCCCCACTCCCTATCTGCGCCCCCCCCCAGGACTCCTGCCCCATCCAACCCCCCCCCCCCGCATTC